GGATGTCTTTCTGGTCAAAAAATGAACCAATGAAAGATGAAACCATATACCAAATCAAATTTGAATGCATTATATTCAATTTTTCTTGAGATATTGCGAAAAACCTATTTCAATTTCTAAACTTCAACGCCCTGTATCTCGAGAACTGAACACTTGGAGACCGTATGTCCCTATCTCAGTGAAAATTTTTTGCTCAAGTAGAAATCCAATAAAATCAGTTAATTTGTGAACATCTGATTGAACACAACCAATCAAATCAACATTGAACTGAAAACAGATCCCATGGTCTGTTTTCACTATATTATGTTGCTATGGATACATTATGTTTCATTTCGATTTTGACATATCAAGTAATTAATATTTCAAAATGTCACGATTTGGCAGTAATACTGATGAGAATATCGATGAATTTATCAAATCAAATATCCCAAAGAATACTGTTTACAGTAAAAAATTTGTATGGAAAGCCTTTATGGACTTCTGCAATGTTAGAAAATATGAATTAGATGGAAATCGGACAGTGGAAGAATTGGCGTCGATTTTAAAGGATTGGGCTGTGAACATGAGAAAAAAAGATGGTACAGAGTTCAAAGAAGCTACTGTTAAAACCATGTGGAACCTAACAAGTAAGCTACTACAAGAAAAATATTATAAAGAAATGCATGTTATTATAGACCCATTCAAAAGTGTTGTATTTCAACAAGCGCGAGCTGCCCGCGATACTATACGAAGAAAACTACAATCGGATCCCTGTAAAAGGAAACAAAGTTCAGCGGCGTTAAGTGCAGAAGAAATAACAAAAATGATTAATTTGTGGGATGAGAATACCCCTGAAGGGCTGCAACGGAAATTTTATCACATAGTCGCCGTTGAATTAGCTTGGAGAGGTGGAGAAGCTGCTGTTTGTTTGACTGACTTCTTTCGTATCGAATCAAATAACGATGGTTCTGTATCAAATCGAGTTGAATATAACCCTGTATTCAGCAAGACTTGCCAAGGTGGTTCGAAAATGTGTGCTGACAGCAAATTTTTAGTCGTAAACAACGACAGCAACGTATGTCCCGTCAGGTTATTTAAAAAATTGTTATCAAAAAGGGGCCCAAATATCAAAACGAATAGATTATTTCTAAGAACAAATCGGTACTGGAAAGCCGAAAGTGATCATTGGTATGATAATATGCCCATTGGAAAAAATATGATTCAGAATTGGACAAGAACGTCTGCAGAAGCGATTGGCTTGAAAACCAAGGAGAAAAAAATCACAAATCACTCCAATAGATCAACCGCGGTCAGTCGATTGGCCAAAAGTGGTGTACAAGAGCAAGAGCTTATAAAAATTACTGGGCATAACAATCCCAACTCAATAAAACCCTACTTGAATATTGACGAAGAACATCACAATAAAATTATTAACAGAATGCGTAGTGGAAATGCATCTTCATCAATTATAGAAACTAACACGGCTGGATCTTCATTACATTTTTCTAATTGTTCTTTTGTTAATTGCACATTCAAATAAATTGTTTTTGTTTCTGTTCCTATTTTTTTCCGCATTGTCAGCAAAAAATTTTCTATCCGAATAACCCTCGAACATTGATAAATGCTCAAAAAATTTTTAACAACTTTCTCAAGCTTGTTGCTTATAGGCAATAGACCTCCGCCTACGGCGTCGGTCTGTTTCCAAGCAACAAGCTTTCGAAATCTGTTATAAAATTTTTTCGAACAATTATCAATGTCCTTGGGTTATTACTACTGATTATGAAATCACGAGGGCTATCACCTGTCAAGCGTTGTCGGTCGAATTTCGAAACACCCTGTATATCACGAGAGCTTCAACTATTTCCGGAAATTTTTTCGAGAACACGAATATTTTGAAAATTCTCTCGAGTCGAAGACGAGGGAAAATTTCTTAAATATTCGTGTTCGAGAAAAAATTTCCGGATATTAATTGAAGCTAAAGTGGTATTCGGTAAGAAAATTTCACACCAACACCAAACATTTTCGATCAATTTAAAGCTAAGGAATTTCAACAACACTTGATGATTTATTTGAAAATGATGGTTGTTTGTGATGAAATGTAAGAGCTAACGTATATTAACAACATGTGTTTTTGTAAATTTCGAATTTGCAAGTATACATACATAATATTACATGGTAAACTGTTGATAAATGATTTTTATTTATTGACTAGAATGAACTCGAAATAATCTGAAGTTGAATGTCATTTAACCTATAAACGTCAAAAAATTTCCAGTGTAATTTCATGCTCCGTCCCCCAAGGAGAACGAAAAAATTTCCAAGAAATTTGTTTAGTTTCTATGGTAAAGATACGAAATACAGGCTTTAAATTGATCGAAAATGTTTGGTGTGAAATTTTCAATATCATTCTTACTGTCATTGTTAACATCAGTTTTGAATCTTTTTTCTTTTACTACTTGGCTTGAGCTTTTGCTGTGGCCTGTTTTTCCTGTCGTTTTTACTTCATTGGAACCGGCTTTTTTTCGTCAGAAAGAATGTTTATATTAGTGAGACATTTGACCTTGAGATCGTTTTCATCATTCAGAAAATATCCTTCTCTATTGTTTCCGCAAATTCACTGGTGAATTCTTCAGTTATATTAATGTTCGATATGATTTCTTCACATAACCGTGAATTATAATTGAATCGGTCATTTCGAAAACAACCTAGGTAGGTACAAATAATTTTTTTCGTTTAGGAGACAAAAAACATTTCATTCAATTAGGTGGGTATTTTGAGGAAATGGTATTTTATATACGTATTTCAGGTTGTAAGGTACTTTTGGAAGACGAAAGGTGGATGTGTAGTTTTTTTTTATCAATTTTTCAATGTGTGAGACTTTTTATTAGGTGGTTTTCGAAATGACCGATTCAATTACACTAATTCGCAAATAAAAATAAGTAATTTACTGCATCTTTAGTATTTGGAGATCTATTGATTAAGAGGACACTAAACTACATACACTTACTTGAATATGCTTGAATCATACCACACGCACACGACCATTCTCTTTCGATGCATAATGTAAAATGGAGTGGGTGCCGGTGATTGAGACTGATCTCTGAAATGGCTGACTGATGAGCAGTGTTGCCAGAAGAGAAAAAGCTAATTGTACTGAAATCACTATTGAATTGTGCTAAAATCGAGTGGAATGTACCAGACATGAAATATTGAAAAATCGATGAGAAAATTGATGAACGATAATTTGTATTTCTCATTGTCAGAAATGACTTCATAATGATATATAAAAAAAGATTCAAAAAAAGTTGATAACATAAAAAATGTCACATCAGGTACATAGCCAAAAAGATACAAAGGCATACAGTGTCATCTATAGAAAAATGACTAGCTTCATTGAATATAAAGAAAAATCAGAAAGAAAATATTCAATCGGTGGTATCCTCAAATATAGGCTAAAAAGATACGCAATATATGCAGCATCATCCATAATAAAAGATTACTGTACGTTAAATATTCGAAAAAAACATCAGAAAACAGTACTGTACCAAGTATGGAACTCTCTAGTTCAGTGGAGTGTATATAACGAATGTCCGATAAATAGGGCGGCTATATCTTCCAATAAGGAAGTGATTAGGTGTTAGACTTTCCAGATCACTTGGATCAGATATCAGATGAAACATGTGTTAAAGGTCTATTATTAACTATCATTTCAGCTTCAGCAAATAAGGTGAGTAGGATTTCATCTTTAGGTGCTTCTTCGGTTAAGATAACACTCAAAACTCTCTTCACTGAGCCGATTAGCCGTTCCCAGCATCCACCCATATGTGGGGCTCCTGGAGTCAAAAATTTCCATGTCCATTCTGCTCCTTTTTCTGCCAGAATTCTTTTTCCATCAAATTCTCTGATGCATTTTCAGTAGTAATAGATCTATTTCATTCTAGCACTCTTCATTACGTCGTTACTACTATTTGAAATTCTAGCGAATCTATTACCATTCGATTCCAACTCGCTAAAAAGAAGAACAGCATAAAAGAACACCTTGAATTCGCGGTAGCCAAGGTCATCATCTGACGTCTGATGTTGCGATGACATAAATACTACGTGAAAATATGTCTTACTTACAATCTAAGGCAGGAGTAAGGAATGTTTTCTCGTAGTTTTCATGTCATCGCAACGTCAGATGATGACCTTGGCTACCGCCAATGAGGTAGCGTTCGAGATGACGGCCGACGGAGCGGATGTTTTGGGCTTCTGACGTCACAAGCACAACTGACATAATTACTAGACCGCTATAAGTCATATCCCAGCAAACCGAAAATCTTGTTGAAATTCATCGCCTGGAAACGTTTCTGCTCAATGCGCAGGAATTTCCAGACTGTCGTTCATGAAATATCAAGTCATGCGAGTCATGTCTCTTGGTATTTGATAGAGGGTTATTCGCAAACATAGGTGAGAGTGAGAAAGATATAATGACAGGTCCATTATGCGCACGCTTCAATTGAACCAAGTTCGATCTCATTAGAAATCTCATGAATGAACGAGCTTTGAACTTATGACATCAGCGATCTAGTTAGTGATTTACGTCGGTGGTTTTAGTGGATTTATGGAAATTCAACCTAATCCATGATCATTAACCACTTTGTAACTGAAAATACTGAAGATGAGATGTTCGAAGCGCATTTGCATCTATGCATTTTTTCTATTTCGTAATTTTTCAATCTATTACTATTTACTGTCATCTATTACAATTTCACGTCTCGATTCAGTACATTTTATTGTATTCCTCATCGCAACCCTGGTCCTGGTTCACGTCACGCTAGGGTCCCTTGATGGAAATTGACGTAAAAGTCATCTTATGATAAGATGACTTTAACGTCAATTTCCATCAAGGGACCCTAGTTCACGCCTGTTAAAATTTCTTTTTTATTTTCAAAATATGTTGCGAGCTAAACTATTGAATTTTAAAATGAACTTTTGAAACAAAATCCACGTGAACGTAATTGGAATCCTGTGCGGTTAAAATGGGAACGGTTCATGCAAAGGTGAATTTGTATGTTCTACTTTCTTAAATTTCAAATCAATTCTAACCAATAATTTTCAGGAAGGACCTGCAGGACTGGCTGGAGAGAATCTAACAGAATCATTTGGATCTTATGCAAAAGACGCTTCTCACGAACTTCCAGAGAAAAAAGTGACAGAAATTGATCTTGAAGGTGTCAAGGTAAAAAACATATCTGTTTCTATGTCCCTTCTACTTTCCATATTTATTGTTGGTTCTAGGCAAGAGTGGACACAATTCACATAGATGGATTAGAACGTACAAAGGACGACATAGTAGAGGACTGTATTAGAGAACTATTCAAGGCAAAGGATTTTCAAGATGTTCTATTGAAAGCACACAAGGTAACTCATCCACTTTAATCAACCTGTGAGTCTTAAATGTCAAATATTCCTAGGCCAGAGTGAAATTGGATGAACTTGGATGTTTCAAGAATATATCTGTATTCATAGACACAAGTAAAGGGTCCAAAGCTACTTCTGATGGCCTAGAGGTAACATTCAATGTGAAAGAACACAGAAGGATAACAGGTGGTGTTAGCACTCATGTGGGTAACAATGAAGGTGCCTTACTCGTTGGTATGCGTGCCCCAAATATGTTTGGAAGAGGTGAAAGGGTCCAAGTTGAATATAGTCATGGATCAAAGAAAAGTAGCAACTTCAACATAGCATTTATCAAGCCTTTCAGAGGAAAACATCGTCCAATGTATGTGGAGTTTAGTGTTTGAAATTTTCAAATTGTTGACAATATGTTTGTTTTAGTCTCACAGCAAGTGTTTTCCAGTCTCATAGTGAATGGGCAACATCTGGTTACAAACAGTTGGAAAGAGGGCTGCTTTTTGACTTGGGATTTCACTCTACTTCTTTGGTAAAGTATACATGTCTTCAATAATTTCACTGATTTTATGTTTTTTTCATGTCATATAAGTTGGAGTGAATTTTAACCCATTTATAACTTAATAGAGCAGTTCAGCTACCATTGAGAGAGAAAAACAATGTCTTCCCCATCTGTCCTTGTCTTCAGTGTTCCAACATAAAATAATGAAAATATTATGTTGGCATCATTGGAAATGGGAAAAAATGGAGAAGAATATCATATTAACCTCAATATAAAAGAAGGTTAGAACGGTCTTCTTCTCCATTTCCAGTGTTGACAACATAAGATTTTCATTATTTCATGTTGGAACACTGAAGACAAGGACAGATGGGAAGACATTTTTTTTCTCTCTCAACGGTAGCTGAACTGCTCTATTCCAGACTAAATTATACAATTATACCAGGTGGTAGAGAAATGAGAAGAGTAGCTGGATTGCTTTTCCATTCTTTTAAAATATTGTAATCCTTTTCAGGTTTATGATATTGAGTTTTTTATTGAAATTTTTCCTCTGAAGGAAGGCTTTCATTAGCCTGTGAAGTATACTCTTATATGCTGCCACTTTATGAGTTGATTCATTATGAATATTATGGAAAGGTTTATGAAAAATGTATAATTCATGTTCATTTTAAATTATACATATTGCCAAGTCTTATAAATTCAACAAATATTATGTTTCTATTTCCATAGTAAATTTTATATTCGAATCATTAGTATTGATATATTATATTGGTGAAAAGTTGTTGATTGATTTCTTCTTGAAATGTTTATCAAAGATAGTGAAGATACAGCATATAAATTCAAAGAAGCAAAAGTATATTAACTAAACTGTGAATCTTGTCCTGAGACATATATTGGCCAGACAGGTAGAATTTCTAACCACCGCATTCAGGAACACCAAATTATTTTATTTACTAATTCAACACATGGAAAATCATGATTTTGATGACAATCCCGAAATTTCAAAATAATGGAATGGAACTCAATCATGTGGAATCATTTGAGACCCACATACACCAAAGCTTCAACATTTTTACAAATTAACTTCTGCAGGTTTCTATTACATTCTCTTGATAAATTGCCAATATCAATAATATCCAGTATTGAGCATGAATTTCTTGAGTGAGTAGTCGAAAAATCAGGTTAGGTATATACCGGGTGTCCCAACAGGTGACATTATCAACGTTCTGAAAAAATGAGAGAGTATTGCACAACAATTTGTCATTAAAAATATTCCATTAAGAAATTACATTTGTTATAAAGATTGCATTGGTTTTGACCTGTTGAACTTGAGTATGTAAAAATATACAGGGTGCTACCGCATTTCAAGAAGAACCGGAAGTCGCCATATTGGATTATGATGTGATCAAATCTGAAATGGTTTTTTTTTCAAGTTAATTTTGAATCCAGTTGCTTCCTGTATATTCCTCAATTGACTTGGTAATGAGTTGTATAGAACGATTCCTGTGTGAAAAATGGATTGTTTGCCGATATTTGACTTGAACGTATTTGCTATTAGTAAATTTGATTGTCTTGTTCCATGATGATGTAATGAATTGATTTCATTGAAATTTAAATTCGAAATTTTCAATTTATATAGGACAAATTGAATAAAACAACATATTTTAACTTTATACAGGGTGGCCCACGGTCGATGGTACCTTAGACGTATACGGTAAACGGTACATTGGATTATCCTGAAAATTTGGTTACTCTAATAAGCGTTTGTGATCTAACGATTCAAAATATTTTCAGCGAATCAGCGTTGCCACTTTTACCAAAAAGTAGCATCATCTTTGTTATTTGAAATGGAACATCCTGTATTTTATTGCGTTTTTAGATTCTTCTCGAAGAGCTGATTTCATCAATGCATCACACTTGGGGTCTAGCAAGAATTATTACAGAGATATAGGGTGTTCAAAATCGAGATTTTTCAACTTTAGGATTTTTTTGTGTCGAAACTATTCATTATCGATCAAAACGGCTTACATGTCACTATCTTAACTTTTCATTCACTATCTACCGACATTTAATTGGAACAGATACAGGGTGATCAAAATTCTGAATCTTGGACCATCCTGTATTTTTTCCAATTAAATGTCGGTAGATAGTTAATCAAAAGTTGATATTAGGACATGTAAGCCATTTTGACCAATGATGAATAGTTTCGACACAAAAAAATCCTAAAGTTGAAAAATCTCGATTTTGAACACCCTATATCTCTGTAATAATTCTTGCTAGACCCCAAGTGTGATGCATTGATGAAATCAGCTCTTCGAGAAGAAACTAAAAACGCAATAAAATACAGGGTGTTCCATTTGAAATAACAAAGATGATGCTACTTTTTGGTAAAAGTGGCAACGCTGCTTCGCTGAAAATATTTTGAATCGTTAGATCACAAACGCTTATTAGAGTAACCAAATTTTCAGGATAATCCAATGTACCGTTCTCCGTATACGTCTAAGGTACCATCGACCCTGGGCCACCCTGTATAGTGATGTCAGATCTAATAAATCTCTAGGTTTGTATAAATTCATGGTTGGTTCGAGAAAATTTGAATTGAAAATACACTTCAATGTTTCATTTTGTAATTTCATTAGTGGGCTCAAACGTGAAATATTGGTACTTCCCCATATAGATATAAGGTATTGAAATTTTGAGTAAATAAGAGAGAAATAAATACTCTTCAAGTATCAAGTAGAAATGTAATTTCGTATTTTGAATAAAATGCCTGTAATGGGATTAAGTTTGTTTCTCAAATATGTTTATTCCACAATAGTCGTTCATCAATATAAAGACCTAAAAATTTTGAAACCTCTGTATATTTGATGAGTTTATTGTTGAAGGATAGTGTTCTATTTGAAATGTTCAGTGTTCTTTTTCAATTATTCAAAATTTTTTGGGATTTTCTCTCCTCGTTTCTATAAAATAAAAATATGAATATTATTTCAATATACAGTGTGGCCCATTTAAGATGGAAGCACCCTTATAAAACTTACATTTTTCAACCGATTGGAATGATTTTCTTTTTGTTAGGTAGATATTCAAAAAGTCTATTAGGACACCAAATATCATGAATAAATCTCCATTTCCAGGGCCAACTAATCTGATTTTTCAAGGTCAAAAATCTAAAAAAATTACTAGCGATTTTTTTAGAAAAAATCTGACTACACCACTGGATTTGTGACATTTTCAAATGGGTAACATGTAAATTACGTTGAAATGCGTCAATCAATAAAAAAGTTATAAAGGAATGAAATTTGAAAAATATGCCGTTTAATCAACCCACCAATTCATGTTCAGGAATTTTATGAAAATTCTGTATACTCCACTGGATTCAGGATGTCTTGAAATATTACTGATCACAGTTTCATCGAAATCTGTTCAGTAATGAAAATTGATGGGTTGATTAAACGGCGTATTTTTCAAATTTCATTCCTTTATAACTTTTTTATTGATTGACGCATTTCAACGTAATTTACATGTTACCCATTTGAAAATGCCACAAATCCAGTGGTGTAGTCAGATTTTTTCTAAAAAAATCGCTAGTAATTTTTTTAGATTTTTGACCTTGAAAAATCAGATTAGTTGGCCCTGGAACTGGAGATTTATTCATGATATTTGGTGTCCTAATAGACTTTTCGAATATCTACCCAACAAAAAACAATCATTCCAATCGGTTGAAAAATGTAAGTTTTATAAGGGTGCTTCCATCTTAAATGGGTCACACTGTACGTGTAGTAAGGACAAATCAGATGATTTGCCCCAAAATGTCACTGCGTTTAAAGAATTTTCCTATCAGAGAGCCTAAAAGAAAAATTCACTAGCTTGTCAGTGACAATTTGTATTGAAAAATTTTTGGAGAAGAAAAAAAATTGTTAATCTCGTTTATGTGAATAATGAAGGACCATAGTAACTGCGATCTTTCAGTTGAAGCACAACCTCCAATGGGAGGGGAACATCAGGGACTTCAGCGTCCTGGGCAGGACCACCTCCTTCGAGGTGAGGAAGGAGTCCGGCCTCAGTTTGAAGTCGTCTCTGAAGCACATTTTGTCGGTGGATCTTCGAGACGAGTTGATATTCCCTTCCAGCGGGTCCTTTTTCCAGCTGACCTCGGAGGTAGCGGGACTAGGCGGGGACGTCGGTTTCCTGAAGAATGATCTCTTCGTCCAAGGGAATTATTCTTTGAAGGAAGACATTGTAAGTATCATTGGTTTTTGGGGAAAAATTTTGACATGGTATCCCGCAAGATGGTAACACCGCATCGCCGTGATCCGAAAGTCCTAATCTCGACCACTCTCGACTGGCGATCAGTGGCGGCTCCTCAGAAGAGGCAACGGAGGCTGAGCCCTATACGTTCTCATTAAAAGGACACCAAAAAACCATGGATTTTGATTTTATTTCCTGTTTTTAGGTAAATATTTTTGAATTGGCAACAGTGCTTGCCCACGCATCACACGTTGAAATCTGCAAATCACGCGTAAAATATTCAACTTGGCAACATCTATAGGAGACTAGACTCCTTCACAATGCGCAACCCACGCGCGCAATGCAAATGCCCGAATAGCACGTGTTTGTCGTGTCGCGTCGCGAATTGCGGACCATCCAGCGCGACTTGCGAGTGCATTGTTTATGTTTATTTTAGGTTAATGGTTAGGGGCTCTATAAATTTCTGATAAATGAGTGTTTTAAACGATTGCAATTCAGTGGAATACTTTTTGGTGAACCCATTCAGTGCTTTGTCTTATGAAGATAAATTGATTGTGACTAGGTGGGGACGTCGGTTTCCTGAAGAATGATGTCTTCGTCCAAGGGAATTATTCTTTGAAGGAAGACATTGTGAGTATCATTGTTTTTTGGGGAAAAATTGGTCCAGTCATTATATCCAAATAACGGACCTTACCCGTGAATAATTTTTTAGTGTTTTTTTTTTTTTTCATAGGTGTCTCGGGGGAGTCACTGGGAGTGTAAATTCGAAATGGCGACCAAATCAAGCTTTTGCGTATGTATGAAAAAAGCGACAAAACTTTTTTTTGTTAAAAAACGGTTTTTCTTGAATAACTCGGCCATTTTTGATTCTACAGAAAAAGTTTGGGGACCAAAATTGTAGTAAATTTTGTTCTCTACAAGTTCGGTCCTTACAATTTTTCTGATAGGATCGATATTTTGTAAATTAAACCTGAAAAAAGCGATAAATTCGAATTATTTTCATTATCTCGTTTATTTTCAACTTTACGGCATAAATGAACAGAATCAAACTTGTAGAGAATCAAATTTTGGACAAATTTTGTCTTCACCTGTTTTTCCGAAAATCGATATTTTCGGAATTAAACCTAAAAAAAAAAACGACTCATTCGAAATATCATCATTATCTCGTTTATTCTCAACTTTACACCATAAATGAGAAAAAACAAACTTGTAGAGAATCAAATTTTGGACAAATTTGGTAAAAAAAATAGTTCCGGAACCATTTTTTCACACCGACATGACAGACAAGCTACCTGCGCGGAATAACCTCTTCATTTATGCCGTAAAAGGAGATAATGATAATCTTTTGAATTTGTCGCGTTTTTCAGGTTTAATTCCCAAAATATCGATTTTTGGAACAAAAACGTAGTAACCAAAATTGTTTAGAATTTGATTCTCCACAAGTTGAGTCCTCTTCATTTATGTCGTAAAGTTGACAATAAACGAGATAATGAAATAATTTCGAATTTGTCGCTTTTTTCATACATACGCAAAAGCTTGATTTGGTCGCCATTTTGAATTTACACTTCCAGTGACCCCCCCCGAGACACCTATGAAGAAAAAAACCACTAAAAAATTATTCACGGGTCAAAGTCTATAATGACTGGACTAAATGTTGACATGGTATCCCGCGAGATGGTAACACCGCATCGCCGTGTTCCGAAAGTCCTAATCTCGACCACTCTCGACTGGCGATCAGTGGCGGCTGAGCCTCCTCAGAGATTTTCCTTGAACTGATGATATCTATACGTTCTCATTAAAAGGACACCAAAATACATGGATTTTGATTTTATTTCCTGTTTTTAGGTAAATATTTTTGATTTGGCAACAGTGCTTGCTCACGCATCAATCGTTGAAATCTGCAAATCACGCGTAAAATATTCAACTTGGCAACATCTATAGGAGGCTAGACTCCTTCACAAAGCGCAACCCACGCGCGCAATGCAAATGCCCGAATAGCACGTGTTTGTTGTGTCGCGTCTCGAATTGCGGACCATCCAGCGCGACTCGCGAGTGCATTGTTTATGTTTATTTTAGGTTAATGGTTAGGGGCTCTATAAATTTCTGAAAAATGATTGTTTCAAACGATTGCAATTCAGTGGAATACTTTTTGGTGAACCCATTCAGTGCTTTGTCTTATGAAGATAAATTGATTGTGACTAGGTGGGGACGTCGGTTTCCTGAAGAATGATCTCTTCGTCCAAGGGAATTATTCTTTGAAGGAAGACATTGTGAGTATACATCGGTTTTTGGGGAAAAAAATTGACAGAAACAGTTGAACATGGTATCCCGCGAGATGGTAACACCGCATCGCCGTGATCCGGAGGCTGAGCGTCCTTAGAGATTTTCCTTAAACTGATAATATTTACAGTGTCTTTCAAAAGTATCGGAACGGTCTCATATTTCAGGAACGGCTTGAGAAAAATTCACGAAATTCTGTACAGGGTGATTATTGATGATGTCCGATTCAATGGTGGCATCGGCAATGTTGCCAAGTTTACAGCTTTCCAGATATTAGGAGTAACTTCATTTTTTCAAATGGAATACCCCATTTATTTTTATTGCAATTGATTAGGCGCCTTCTAATTACTTTCGTCCCTGAATATCAGATTCGTAATTAACGTGATTTTCGAAATATGACAACATAGCATTTTCGTTAAAAAGTTCTGGAACGGTCCCATATTTCAGAAACGACTCAGAGAAAATTTATGGAAACTTCATCAAGATGGTTTTTGATGATGCCCGATTCAATGGTGATATCGGCAATGTTGCCAAATCAACAGTTTTTCAGATATTTAGGGTAACTCAATTTTTTCAAATGGAATACCCTATTTGTTTTCATTGCAATACATTCAGCGACGCCTCATTACTTATGTCTATAAATATCAGATTTTGAATTGAAGTGGTTTTCGAAATATGACAACATGGCATTTTCGTTCAAAAGTCTGGGAACCTTCTAATATTTTCAATACGGTTCAAGGAAAATTCATGAAATTTCCATATTTTCGCGTGCCCTTATGAAAATATTGGACCGTTTGCAGACATTTCAACAGAGCATGTTCTCATATTTAAAAAACCACACTTATTTAAAATTCGATATTCGAAGACATAAGTAATGAGTGGGAGCTGAATTGATTGCAACGAAAATAAATAGGGTTTTCCATTTGAAAAAATTTAATTACCCTCAATATCTGAAAAACTGTTGATTTGGCAACATTGCTGATATCACCATTGAATCGGGCATCATCAACAACTATTCTGTCGAAGTTTTCATAAATTTTCTCTGAGCCATTTCTGAAATATGGGACCGTTCCAGAACTTTTTAACGAAAATGCTATGTTGCCATATTTTGAAAATCACATTAATTGCGAATCTGATATTCAGGGACTCAAGTAATTAGGAGGCGCTCAATTAATTGCAATAAAAATAAATGGGGTATTCCATTTGAAAAAATGAAGTTACTCCTAATATCTGAAAAACTGTAAACTTGGCAACATTCCCGATGCCACCATTAAATCGGACATCATCAATAATCACCCTGTAGAAAATTTCGTGAATTTTTCTCAAGCCGTTCCTGAAATATGAGACCGTTCCGATACTTTTGAAAGACACTGTATACGTTTTCATTAAAAGGACACCAACATACATGGATTTTGATTTTATTTCCTGTTTTTAGGTAGATATTTTTGAATTGGCAACAGTGCTTGCTCACGCATCAAACGTTGAAATCTGCAAATCACGCGTAAAATATTCAACTTGGCAACATCTATAGGAGGCTAGACTCCTTCACAAATCGTAACCCACGCGCGCAATGCAAATGTCCGAATAGCACGTGTTTGTTGTGTCGCGTCGCGAATTGCGGACCATCCAGTCGCCATTTTTCAAAATGGCGACCAAAAGCTGGGTTTTTGCTGATATCTCCAGAACGGTGGGGAATATCTGGAAAGTTCGAATTGATAAAATATAGAGGATAGTAAGGCGGACATTTTTTGTTCGAAACATTTTTTTGTCAGACGAATCAAAAATTCAATAATCGAAATATTAAAATTCAATTTATCAAGGTTTCTCAAGAAAAAATCAGAATGGAAACATTCAGGCTGAGATTAGCCACAGAAATCATGATCATGAGTTATTTGTATGATGAACTCTTTCTTGAGGATTCAAACCGAAGGTACCATTACGTAAAATGGCGGTCAATTCTTTTAATCTAAATAAAATCATATATCAATCATGTTATAGGCTTGATGTTTAATTAGGTTCGATTAGATCAGTAAGAATCTTGGTGAACTAACTAATATAACAGTACCTATCACAAATAATGTTTATTGAGTATACACTGTCCATCATGCACACTGCATAGAGCAGTACACTGCAAATTGAATCTATTGCATTTGCAGTTCTTAATACACATTGTTTTGCATCTGCAGCTGATCAATTCTGAACATTCATCAGTAGCTTGTGGCAAAACTGTCCAAAGTGGTTCAATCGTTTCATTTTGACATTCCAGATTTGACGACTTTCATCCCCAGTTAGAATATATGGTTGCAATTCCAGGGTGTGAAAAATTGAGTGAGATCAAAGTGAGTATACCAGGTAAGGCATTTATATTGAGGCAAAATTATATCTCGGTTCGACTCGATTATTTCGAAAGACATTTCAGACAAATAATGTAAGGCCAATGATTTCCAATCCAAATCTGTGCTGAACAATGGGTGTTTCTATTAAAGATTTTTTTACAAAGGATCGAATATAAGCGAGATATGATTTTGCCTCAAGATAAATGCCCCACCCGGTATATTGTAGAGTTGAAAAAGATCTTCTATATTTCTAGATGAACACGTGTGTAAGAAGGATTCTTATGAATAGCTAGGGATACTCGGTAACGGGGTAATTGTTGGTATTTTAAATGATTTTCTGAGAAAACGAGGATTTTCCACTGAATCTATTCAATTTATTGACTTATATCAGCCTCACAAGAAAATGTTTCAGACAAAAAATGTCCGCCTTGTGATGTTCTTTATTTCATGAGTTGAACTTTTCCAAAATTTTGCACCGTTCTTGAGATATCAGCAAAAATCTAATTTTCGGCCGCCATTTTAGAAAATGGCGGACGAAATATTCCAGACACAGCTTGTTTCCCGATGGTTTTTTGTTTCCTATATATTTCTCATCATGTATGCCAAATTTCATGCTGGTAGCCAGAATAGCAATATTGTTATACTTTCTTGAACCAACCCAACGCACATTTCGTGAGTTTTGCGAATACAAAAAACGCCAAAACAACAGTCCCCAACATGTTCTTCCAGGTCCTGCAAGGCTGCCTCTCCGCCGGCTTCCTCACCCGCCTCTCCAACGACCTGCGCGTCTCCATGGCCGACGCCTACTTCCTGGGCGGGCCGCTTACCCTGCGCGGCTTCCGGCAGCGCGGCGTCGGCCCGCATTCGGACGGCGACGCCCTCGGCGCCCGAGGGTATTGGGCGGCGGGGGCGCACCTGTTCACGCCGCTGCCCTTCCGGCCGGGCAGGGGCGGCTTCGGGGATCTGTTCAGGACGCACGGGTTCGTCAACGTCGGGAATGTCGGCGACTTCCGGATAGGTGAGTTCTGAATAACGATAGACACTTCAATTCATTCATAAGTCTTTAAAACATGTACGCCACGAGGCAAATGACCGTTTTCAGAAAGAAATTTGAGAATGTATTGAGTCAGAAAGCAAAGAGTCCAATGCATTCGAAATATGTTTCAAAACCCTCTTTTTCTGATTATCAAGACATTTTCCCGAATTATGTATCTCGTTTTTATCTATTTCAATTAGTAATTCCTTGATTTGATTGATATTATTAGAGATAAAAGGTGTTTTCAGATTGGCTTTTAGAGATGTTTGTATCGCTAGGTCATACAAAAATGATTCCACATTCAAAACAAAATCAATCACAACCGAATATATAATTACGGGCCCTGGAGAATAAGACAATTTGAATAATGTGACTTTTTGCAAATCGATAATTTTGAACCACTTTTCGGGCAACTGAAAAGACTAATACAACTAGAAATTCTTGAAATTCTGTGTAGCAAAATGATTTTTGGTAATTTTCGAATTCAGTTTCACTTTTGGTAAGTGCTTGTGCCAAATTTTTAGTCTCTAGTATCTCAAGTTTTTCATCACGACTTGTGCGTAATTTTACATCTTTCCATAAATAAGATGGACAGTTGGGAAATTGAGTGGGAATAACATCTCGTTTGAGCCTAGGAATTTTCGAATCTATTGTTACAGTTTTGCCAGTTTTTGAATCGGTTGCAGTAGATGAAGTAATAATATCTTTAGTAAAATGTAATTCACATACTTTACTGTACTTAGATGGAGTCGTAAAATCCTTGCGGTGAATTGCATGTACCCACTTTTTCGATAGTTCCTTGTCCAACGGGAAACTAAAAGCATGAACTTTTGGACCACCCACATAATTCCCCCGACAAAAGGGAACACAACATTTGCAAGGCATTGTTATTTCGCCTATCACAACACGAAATATTTTACAAAACAGTAATTTCTCCGCCAATTATTTTGATGAATAAACAACAAGAGAATCCGAGCACACACGCGATTTACCTACGCCACCGTTCTTAAACAAAAACAAACTGACGATCGATCGACGCGAATGCCTTGGAAGATGGCCTGAGTATGCGACGTCACGAGCTGTTTACGTCAGAGTCTGCTGGCCTTGTTTTATCGGTGGTAACGGTCAAGTCCATATCTGTGCTAAAATGAGATTTCAAGTCCTGGACTTGTCCGTTTTTCTGCACAAAATCGTTGAATTGGCGGGAGGACATGTCTGACTGGGGATACGTGTTTCCTGTTGATACATCTGTATATCTGTTCATCAGTATCCTGAGCCTGGTCATAGCTTTTTGCCCTGTGACCGATCTTTCGGGCTGATTGAAAAAGAGAAGAGGAGAAAGGAACGTGTACATCTACCAGAAGAATGGAAATCATTGGTGAAGAAAACCTCTTCTTGTTGATGTGAACCAATAAGACATGATTATTTTTAAAAACATTTACTTCCAACACCAAAATTAAGTTTTCAATCTCAACTTATAGACTGTTCAGGTATGAAAAGGGCTCAAACTACATTGAATATAGTGTGGCAACGGTACTTCCATGTTTCAACAAGTTTTCTGCTGTTAAGCCATATCACTGCCAACTGAAAAAATGCCGCAGGTATATCCTCTTCCAAAAAACGAGAAAAAGATGAAAGATGTGAAGACACTCTGGTACAGAAATATGTTCCTGCAGCAGACCAGTGGTATTACAGAATGATATTCGGAGATTCTGAGGAACAAGAAGAAGAAATAGATGCATTATACGATTCTGACTCTTCTTTTATGTAGTTGCGTAGTTTCTTGTTGATATAATAAAAATGACATGACATTTTTTTTTAGTATAGATCGCGTGCACGATGACCGACCCTGGAGGTAAGACACTGAACTACAACCTCACTTTTCTGTAAAACATTGAAACAAAACCTCACTTTTATATTCGTTCACAAAGGAATCTAATGATTGAAATAATTTTTCACAATATTTTGGGATACAAATTGTGTTTTTTGGGCAATTTTTCAAGCATACAGAATTCCATCATATCGTTCTGTTGTACAATGCACAAAAAATGCAGCAAGAGACGAAGGAATATAATTTTTCTGGTAAATAGTAATCTCACATAGTTTTCATTATGAAATTTTGTCATTTCTCATTAGAATTCCTTCTACCACTTCTGCAATAGAAGCTAATACTGCTGATAGATTGAAAATGTCTACAACACCACACGATCATGTTTCGGCAGCAGGTCAGACCAGTCCTCCCGTTTGATTGCACGAATCCAATCTTCTTGCCTTCTTTCAAAAACTTCACGAGTATTTCTATTAGCTCCTATTGCAGAAGGAATTCCAATGAGAAAAGATTTCAGAATGAAAACTATATGCGAGTGACTCCAGTACTTTCAGAATCACAATGTACCTAACTTACCTACCTGAAAAATCGAATTCCTGCGTCTCTCGCTGCATTTTTTGTGCATTGTACACCAGCACAATGTGGTGGAATTGAAGATTAGCCTAAAAACACGATTCGTACCTATGCCAAAATATTGTGAAAAACTTTTCCAATCCTTTGTAAACAAACAAGAAAAGTGAGGTTATATTTCAATGTTTTACCTCCAGGGTCAGTCATCTGACAGATCTTCCATGCAACCTATACCTGTGTACAAGTTCCTAACCATTTGTTTTTATTTCGATTGTATATTTATTAGAAGCTAACGAATGGATTCAACAATTTAACAAATTCATTTCAGCTAAGGATGGTAACCTTCTCGACACCCTCAAACATAATCTGAGGGTCTCATACGGATTGGGAGTTGCCCTGCGATTGGGCAATATGGCGAGACTAGAAGTGAATTATTGTTTCCCATATATTTTCGATAAAGGAGATCAAACCCAGCCAGGTATACAGTTTGGAATCGGTGTTCAGTTTTTGTAAATACAGTCCGAGATTAAAATTGTACATTTTCGAACGTCTAGACAATGATCTTACACAAAAGTTTTAGTAATTTTAGTAACTATGAAGATAGTTTACAAAAATGTTATTTAATAAATTAATATTGTTGATTTGCTCGTTTTTATGGTTTCATGTAACAAATGCCGCCTTATTTGTTCCGACCACTGACATAACCTATCTAGGAAATAGGTTGCGTGCACGATGACCGACCCTGGAGGCAAAATATTGAAACACAACCTCATTCTTCTGTGAATTATTGAAACACAACCTCACTTTTTCACTTGGTTACAGAGTAATCAAAGGATTGAAATAGTTTTTCACAATATTTTGGCATACGAATCGTGTTTTTTGCGCCATTCATTAATTCGAGCATGCCTTCGCATTGTGCTGTTGTACAATGCACAAAAAATGCAGCAAGAGACTAAAGAAAATGATTTTTCAGGTAAATAGTAATCTCACATAGGTAGTTATCATTATGAAATGTTGTCATTCCTTATAAAGAAATTCCTTCTGCCTTCTGTCACTTCTGCAATACAAACTAATACTGCTAATAGATTGAAAATGTCTACAACACACACGATCGTCAACATGTCAGACCAGTCCTCCCGATTGATTGCATGAATCCAATTTTCTTGCATTATTTTAGAAATTTCAGATTTATTTCTATTAGCTCCTATCGCAGAAGGAATTCCGATGAGAAATCAGAGAAATTACCAAATTTCAAAATTGAAAACTATGGGGCGTGTTTTTCATTCCATCGAAGAAAGTGCGCACTGATAGATGCGGTTTTTTGTCGTGACGTCACCAATTGTTCTGTTGGAATTTATGCTGGAAGGATAGAACAATGGTTTATACAACACATTGATGGAAACACGGATTTTGTTGTGTGTCAGTCATCATGTATCTTGAGAATCAGAAGAGGCTAATTCGATTTTATTGATTAACACTGACTCTTTCTTCTAAAATCTCTCAAGAATCTCAAAAATCCTCAATATTAATTGTTCTCTATCAAATCAAAACAAAAAACAACACTAAAATGTGTCAACTGTCATGTCAATCTCCTCCAAACTGCTGGATTCTCAAAAACGATTTAAAAGTGCGCATTCTATTACAACAGTTTGATGGATTTCCATCAACATTCCAGCGGAATTTTGCAACAGTTTGATGGTTTCTTCGATTCATGCGCATGATAAAATGTTGGAATGGAAAACACACCCATTATATTATATGTGAGTGACTATAGTAGGTACTTACTTTTAAATCATATTGTACCAACCGGATTTCTTCATCTTCCGCTGCAGTTTTTGTGCATTTCACAACAGCACAATGTGATGGCATGAGCGAATTGATGAATAGCGGAAAAATACGATTCATATGCCAAAATAATTGTGAAAAACTATTTCCATCACTTGTAAACAAATAAGAAAAGTGACGTTGCGTTTCAATGTTTTGCCTCCAGCGTCGGTCATCTGACAGTTCTTGCACGCAACCCATGGTGAACATGGAACTTGCTCATTTAGGACCTGTCATATATCTTCCCCACTCTGAAAGCCAACTGACATGAGTGAGACCATAGTTGCGTTTTATTTGATACATTCTGGATTCTGGTAACGGTGGTGGGAACAGAATGATGCTTACGAATAAAACGAGAAACTTCATGACCTTGTATGGAAGAGGTTAAATCCATATATTGGGGCTCCAAATAATTTCAAATTCAAAACTTGTGAAATTCACGATGTAAATGTCTCTTAAATGTCTTCTAGCTTCAAAAAGTTTCGTTTTTCGACAATCTAATATAATTTTTTGACAACTGTCGTTCCACGTCATTCCTTGTCAGGGGCGTGCGCAGAAATAATCTCAGGAGGGGCTAGTCACAATAAATAATGTACATTATTCAGAATATATGTTACAGGGTGTTACATAATTCAATACAAATATTTTAATGACATATTCCTGGGGTCAAAATAAGAATTTTTTTTCCTATAAACATGTGTCCTAAAATCCACCCCCTCCAAGCTACAGACATCGCGTTTAATGGTAAGTTGAGGAAACTGAATCGATTGTGACATGACGGTTATGACATACCACAATGTCAGTTTGGCATAAAAGATATTAATTAATCATTAGTTACCAGAGACAAACATAATCATAGCTCACTAAGTTTTTTTAGTATAATAATTTGAAAATACACCCCTTTCATTTACTAGCGATTTTCTCTAAAACGGTTAGCTAATTCAAGAAAATGCAAGAGACTGAAATGTATGATTTTTTAGCGACCAATTCAACGATGATGTTTGAATTCAAATTTTTTTGGAGGAAATAGAAAATGTTTGCCATCAAATCTGTATGCAACCCTCATTCACCCCTTTCGATTCGAGTTACCTTATTTTTGTATCAAGAAATGAATAGATCGTCTGAAAATACAAGTGCCTGTGAATTTTCAAAATATTTGATGCATAATTGTAGCCACAATTCAAAATTTAAGATTTTTTTTGCGCATCTTGCGATGTCTGTAGCTTGGAGGGGGTGGATTTTAGGACACATGTTTATAGAAAAAAAAAGTCTTATTTTGACCCCAGGAATATGTCATTAAAATATTTATGTTGAATTATGTAACACCCTGTATATAAAAAAACTGTTTTTGCACGACCTATGAGCGATTTTACACCGACAAAAGCGGGAATACAGGGTATACAGAATGGGCACTATCTCTAGGCTAAGAAAAATCTCGGGATTTTTCTGGCAATAAATCTACCACTATGTTTGCAGCAGCTTCTCCAATAGTTTTTCCACAAAATCCTGCAATATTTATTGAAAAAACTTTGGAAAGCAATTAAGAAAATATGCTACCACACTTTTTCGATGTTTACAAAAAGCAATATGGCTACTCATCTTTATCGGTAGTCATGATAATCATAGATCTAACTATACTTTCCTGATTGCCCTGAAAAACCCAAAAAAATTATACACTAATTCAGACCCAGAACGAGAGAACTTGATGTCAGATTTGATAGATAACTCTCCCTGTAGATTTTCAAAATCAGCGGTTCGAGCAATGCAGTAGGCTCATATAGGTGGAAAAAATATTTTTTTCGTGATTGCCCTAAAAATTCCAAAATATTCATAGACACTAATTCAGACCCAAAAAGAAAGAATTTGATGTCAGATTTGATAGATAACTCTCCCTGTAGATTTTCAAAATCAGCGGTTCGAGCAATGCAGTAGGCTCATATAGGTGGAAAAAATATTTTTTTCGTGATTGCCCTAAAAATTCCAAAATATTCATAGACACTAATTCAGACCCAAAAAGAAAGAATTTGATGTCAGATTTGATAGATAACTCTCCCTGTAGATTTTCAAAATCAGCGGTTCGAGCAATGCAGTAGGCTCATATAGGTGGAAAAAATATTTTTTTCCTGATCGCCCTAAAAATCCCAAAATATTCATAGACACTAATTCAGACCCAAAACGAAAGAATTTGATGTCAGATTCGATAGATAACTCTCCCTGTAGATTTTCAAAATCAGCGGTTCGAGCAATGCAGTAGGCTCATATAGGTGAAAAAAATATTTTTTTCCTGATTGCCCTAAAAATCCCAGAATATTCATAGACACTAATTCAGACCCATAAAGAAAGAATTTGATGTCAGATTTGATAGATAACTCTCCCTGTAGATTTTCAAAATCAGCAGTTCGAGCAATGCAGTAGGTGGAAAAAATATTTTTTTCCTGATTGCCCTAAAAATTCCAAAATATTCATAGACACTAATTCAGACCCAAAAAGAAAGAATTTGATGTCAGATTTGATAGATAACTCTCCCTGTAGATTTTCAAAATCAGCGGTTCGAGCAATGCAGTAGACTCATACAGGTGGAAAAAATATTTTTTTCCTGATTTCCCTAAAAATCCCAAAATATTCACAGGCACTAATTCAGACCCAAAACGAAAGAATTTGATGTCAGATTTGATAGATAACTCTCCCTGTAGATTTTCAAAATCAGCGGTTCGAGCAATGCAGTAGGCTCATATAGGTGGAAAAAATATTTTTTTCCTGATTGCCCTAAAAATCCCAAAATATTCATAGACACTAATTCAGACCCAAAACGAAAGAATTTGATGTCAGATTTGATAGATAACTCTCCCTGTAGATTTTCAAAATCAGCGGTTCGAGCAATGCAGTAGGCTCATATAGGTGGAAAAAATATTTTTTTCCTGATTGCCCTAAAAATCCCAAAATATTCACAGGCACTAATTCAGACCCAAAACGAAAGAATTTGATGTCAGATTTGATAGATAACTCTCCCTGTAGATTTTCAAAATCAGCGGTTCGAGCAATGCAGTAGGCTCATATAGGTGGAAAAATTATTTTTTTCCTGATTGCCCTAAAAATTCCATAATATTCATAGACACTAATTCAGACCCATAAAGAAAGAATTTGATGTCAGATTTGATAGATAACTCTCCCTGTAGATTTTCAAAATCAGCGGTTCGAGCAATGCAGTAGGCTCATATAGGTGGAAAAAATATTTTTTTCCTGATTGCCCTAAAAATCCCAAAATATTCATAGACACTAATTCAGACCCAAAACGAAAGAATTTGATGTCAGATTTGATAGATAACTCTCCCTGTAGATTTTCAAAATCAGCGGTTCGAGCAATGCAGTAGGCTCATATAGGTGGAAAAAATATTTTTTTCCTGATCGCCCTAAAAATCCCAAAATATTCATAGACACTAATTCAGACCCATAAAGAAAGAATTTGATGTCAGATTTGATAGATAACTCTCCCTGTAGATTTTCAAAATCAGCGGTTCGAGCAATAATGCAGTAGGCTCATATAGGTGAAAAAAATATTTTTTTCCTGATTGCCCTAAAAATCCCAGAATATTCATAGACACTAATTCAGACCCAAAACGAAAGAATTTGATGTCAGATTTGATAGATAACTCTCCCTGTAGATTTTCAAAATCAGCGGTTCGAGCATT